AAAAATTTTTGGGGTTTTTTTTTTTTTTTTTTTTTTTTTTTTCTTTATTCATTAAACTTACTTTAGCAGAAATACTCGAATATATTTCAGGTGTCCAAAGAGGATGACTGCTTTATACAACAAGAACTTTTAGCAAAGTATGCACATAAATTTTGCATTTGTTAATCATGGTTGTCCAGCTGATGGCTCTTGGGTCATAAGCTTCCCCACTTCCCCCAACCAGTCCAGGCACTCCACTCCTGCAATTTTTGGGTTCCCCTTCCACCTTCCCCAGGGGCTGGCAGCAAAAATTGGGTGTAGCAGTACAGCCTGCAGGCCTGAAGGATTCTGTAGGCAGGGGGACTTGTGAGTGACTCAAGGTGCCAGTAGGGCAGGTGGGATGTAGGGGAGGACCCCATGGTATGGTGCCAGAGTATTGACATGGTGAGGGGCAAACATGGCGTGCAGGCCCTGACCACTCAGAAGTTGGACAGCCCTACATTAGAGTGACAATTTTTAAGCTTATTTAAACCACTTTTCAGATTTTTCAATTTAAACAAAACTATCCTGAATTAAAGGTTATAGTAACATTAACTTCAGATGTTTATGGGGGGGTGAACACTCTCCAGTTACACAATCATGTGAGTAGTTCTGTTTAAGTTTGTAAACTATGTGCTTGTGGCCACTTATTGGTTTTGAATTAGTACCTGTGAGGTGGTAGTTGCTTTTCAAAAGCTCAAGAGTGGGACAGTCTTTCTTGCAAGCTAAAGTTGAAAGCATTTGCAGGATCAAAGTATTAATTATTTGTACGTTCATTTGCTTCATCTTAGAGTAGTACCTGAAGGCGTTAATTAGTATCGGAGTCCTACTGATTACTGTACAGACGTCTAAAAAGTTCCTGTCCTGGAGAGTTGTAGTTATGATTGAACGCAAGACACAGCAACTGAATATAAGATCAAAGGAAGCAATTCAGAATATAGGACTTTACTGGAAATATTCCTTACCCATCCATATTGGGTCTTTCAAATGTTAAATTTTTATTGTTTTCTATAAAGATTTTTTTTGGCTGATACCGATGGCCAATTATTAACCAGGTGATATGCAGCGTGGCAGCTTAGAGAGCAGTGTCTGACAAGTAAGTTTTTGGGGGGAGAGGTATGGGGGGGGCAGATCAAAGCCCCCATGGTGAGGGAGGGAGTGGGAC